GTCCGAGCAACAGGGTATCGCGTAATATATCAAATAATGATTAATGGTTTTTGTTAAAAACAGATTAAAGACCAACTGCGTTACTATGACGCAGTACCCCTGTCCCTAACTTTGACCACCTTTCCCTCATTAAACTTTCGATCTTTTTCCCTTGGGGTATAAAAGCACTCCTCCCCATCGCCGGGATCGCCACTACTGATTTACTACTACGACCTCTACATAATTACTACTCCTATTCTGGGGAGCTTCGGCTCCCCAGAGCCTCACCTACTTTTTATGCATTATCCTTTTACTTTACTATGTATTAATAAACATGTATATAGGACGCGACGTGTTACACACACACCTACGAACGAGGTACACACTAGTCTAATAAAATAACAATTAAGGTCACGATAGTGGGAATCCCGGCCGGTTGCCATAGTGCAATGGCAGCTGATGTTTGTCTTGAATTCTCAAAGTTAGCCTGATTTGGGAGAACTAGCCCCGCTACGGTGTCGGTCGGTATCTTGGGGTGCCTGAAGAAGTATCGTGAAGTCATAATCGCCTACAGGCTGCGCCACCAAGCAACTGTTCCAGCAGAAGTGTGATTGCCTTCAGCAGGACGCCATAACTACTACCGCTTTTTCTATATGTCTCGGATGCTGTACCACAGGTTCTACTCATGGAAGCAAAACGCGCGGCTGAAATCCAGCGATAATTTCTCCCTTCGCCTCCCCCTCTCCCTCCCCCGCGCCCCAAAACTTCCCTTGGATCTAGTCAGCAGCCGAGCACAGTATAAAAGTAAGCCAGCACCCCTCCTCCGAATAGCTTTAGATTCTCACAACCAACACCAAAAAACCGTCAAACACTGAGCATTTTTACTATAACACGGCTCGGCTTGACTTGGCTGGTACCATGCACGATTTGCGAAAAATTTTTCTTGGCAATGGCGGGTAACGTTACCCATATGTAGTGCAAGGGATTTTTATGCGTTTTTGCAGCTATGCAATGCAGAAAACGCATACTGACGGAAGGTTGTCTGTGTGTGTGTGTGTGTCTGTGTGTGCGCTGGGCCTCTGTACCGATTTTTCATCTCGAGACCAGCAAAAAAGCTACAGGGAGCTGAAACTTTGGGGACTTAATCTACATGCACGTACGGGCCCCCATCCCAAAAATGGGCGGTCTTATCCGCGCAGTACCCACGTAAGAGCCTGCCAAAGTTTTTTACGGGTAAGTTGCTAATTCGCGAACCGGAAAAGCTAGAAAGCTGAAATTTTAAGGGGATGTTCCACATCCAAGTACGTATTAATAAGCTCAAACTCCGCCCCCACGTTAGCGTGGTATCCGCGTACGAGCTCGCCAAAATTTTCCTCGGGAAAGTTGATAACTTGAGAACCTGAAAAGCTAGAAGACTGTAATATTAAGAAGATTTTCCCCGTCCACATTAATCTCGACGAGCTCAAACCCAGCCCTCGGTCATGCGTGGCACCTACGTACGGGTTCACCAAAGTTTTCCTCCGGTAAGTTCATAACTCGAAAAGCTGAAAAGCTTAAAGACTGTAGTTTTCATGCGTTTTGTGCTGTGTAACAGCAGTACAAAACGCATATTATCACGGGATTGTCGGTGTGTGTGTGTGTCCACAGTAACTTATCCGCAACTTTCAATTCGGGAACCACAAAAGCTTGGAAGCTGAAAATTTAGGGTAACGTTCCCCACCCACGTGTGACCCTGCAAATTTAAATTCAGCTTCATACCCGCGGGTAACACGTATGGCCCCGTGAAAGTTTTTTACGAGTAAATTAATATCTCGGGAACAGTCCAGGAAGCTGAAATTTTAGGGTAATGACCCCTGCCCACGCTCAACTCTGCCCATTCAAATTTAGCGTCCCCGCGCTCTTGAGTATCACCTACGGCCTCGTGAAAATTTTGGCGGGTAAACTATTAACTCGGGAT